TCACGCCCTCCTGGAGCTTCAGCTTGAATTTTCTAAGTTGTACGTGGGCTGGGAACATCACTCAAAATTTCAGCCTCCAGGCCTTGCTGGTACCCGAGCTAGCGATTTTCCTGCCAGAAATGTTCATGGGGCCGTAATGGGAACCACGCAGTCTTGAGGACTGAATCTGAAATCTTTGAGTTCTATGTGACAGGAAACATAATCTCAAAATTTCAGCTTTCTAGCCTTTCTTGTTCCCAAGTTAGCGATTCTCCCGCCAAGGCTTTCACACGCTTGTAGGCAGGATCCAGACGTGCGTGAGGGTTGGTACCGTGGTCCTGGGATGGTACTCAGCCAGGGAACTCAATCCCGAAATTTTGACGCTAGAACTTACCTGATTGCCGAGTTGAAATACTTGGACAGGGGCACACACACACACACAAACACACACACACACACACACACACACACATGTACCGTTATCACAGTATGCGTTCTAGCACTTGCGTATATGCAAAAACGCATAAAAAGCATACTATTTTCGTTATTGTTAATGTTTTTTAGTGTGATACTTTGATCAGCTGCTGTTCCTCATTGCGTTTCTTCCTGCCAGAGGTAGAGCCACCAGTTTGTCCATCCTTCTCATTTCTAGGCTGCCCTCAACCATATAATTTAATATGCGTTCAAGTGGACCTTCTACCATATTGGCCGCCTGGACTTCCCTGTTTTCTTTTAAAATTGCGTAACTACCATTCATTCAGTCTACACTGTCCATTTACTGCGCCACATTCTTGTCACATTTCTAAGCAACTCTTCTTCCTTGTACATATTGTTCACGCCAGACTGTAAACATAGGGCGAGAAGTATGTACGAAGGTACAGATTTCCAGACCGAACTGCCTACCAAAAAAAAAGTTCGGCTTAAAAAATAAGCGAAAATTTAACATGTGTTTTTTTGCGGCTCTTAATTCCTACTCAGTCTCTCTTGATGCTGATAGGTAGAGAATATAAAAAATTTTGTTGTT